GTGTGCGATGGCTGCCAGCACAACACCATGGGGCGCCGCTGCCATCTCTGCAAGCCCTTCTACTACCGGCACCCGCGCTCCGATATCCGCGCTCCCACTGCCTGCATCCGTGAGTGCCCCCAGCTCTGTTGCCCCCAACCCCGTGTCCCCCACTGCCACCTGCCCCAGCTGCCACGATGTCCCCACAGCGTGTGACTGCGACCCTGCGGGATCGCTGGATGGCGGCGCCTGTGATGCACACACGGACGTGGCGCTGGGCATGATCGCGGGGCAGTGCCGCTGCAAGGAGAACGTGGCCGGGCCACGCTGCGACCGCTGCCGGCACGGAGCCTACGGCCTCAGCCAGGGAGACCCTCAGGGCTGCCAGCGTGAGCTGGGGCTGGGGTGGGCATGGGCTGTGGGGATGGAGGGTTTGTGTGGGGATGGAGGAATGGGGATGGAAAGGGAGGAACATGGGTGAAGGAGTGGGGATGAAAAGATGGGATGAAGGAATGGGGATTGGGGTGGAGGAATGGGGATGGAAGGATGGGGATGAAGGAATGAGAATACAGAAAGAGGGATGGGGATGGAGGGATAAAAATGAAGGGATAGGTTTGGGAAAGGAGATGGAGGGCAGAGCTGAATGAGTGAGTGATGAAGCAGTAAGGATGGAGGGATGGGGATGAAGGAATGGAAAAGAGGGGATGGGGATGGAGATGGAGGAATGGGAATGGAGATACAGGGATAGGGAGGGGAGTAGAGGAGTGTGAATGAGAAGAGTGGGGATGGGGAATGAAGGAAGGGGTATAGAAGGCCTGAGTTGGAGGGTTGAGGCCAGAGATGGAAGTGTGGAGATGGATGGGTTAGGGATGAAGCAATGTAGGAGGAGTGGGGATTGAAGAAGAATGGAAATGAACGGATGAGGTGGGGAGATATGGATGAAGGAACAAGGGATGCAGGGATGGGGATGGAAGGATTAGGCTGGAGGGCAGGGATGGAAGGGTGGAGCTGGATGAGTAGGTGATGAAGCAATGGGAGGGGATGATGGAGATGGAAGTAGGATTGGCATGGAGGGTCGGAGATGGAAAGAGGGAGGGAGGGTAAGGGAAGGTGGGATGAGCAATAGTGCATGGGGGACTCAGGGCCGTGGGGCAAGGAGGGAGGGCTGTGGAGCTGCTGTTTGAACATCACAGGGTGCACTGGGGGCTGTGGTGGGTGGCAGTGCTGTGTGGCAGCCCACCATGTGTGTGTTTGTGCACGGGGCAGCGTGCCGGTGTGACCCACGGGGCACGGTGGCGGGCAGCTCCCCCTGTGACCCCATCAGTGGGGACTGCTACTGCAAGCGCTTCGTGGCCGGGCGCTCCTGCAGCCAGTGCGTGGTGAGTGCCCCAGCTCCACACCGTGCTCCATTGCCTTGGCTCTCCCCAGCCCCATGGCATTCCCCAGGGCTGGGCTGGCCCCACACCTACTCCCTATCTCTCCCATCTTACTGCAGCCTGAGTTCTGGGGCCTGAGCTATGATGTAGGGGGCTGCCGGCCCTGCTCCTGTGACTTCGGGGGAGCTTACAGCAACCGGTGAGGCCCCACGGTACTGCCCAGCTGGGCACGGGGACACAGGGATGGGTGTGGGGACAGGGTGGAATGGAAGTGGTGGGACCACTGCTGGAGGGGTGGGGACAGGGCTTCACAGTGGAGACAGAGTGGTGTGGAAGGAGGGATCTCTGTGCCTGGAGGTGGAGGGCTGGGGACAGGAAGGGATGGGTGAGGCACAGTCGGACAGAAAGATGGACAAGGGCCATTCCCCAGGTGCTCCATGGAGGACGGGGCCTGTCCCTGCCGCCCCCACCTCATGGGCCGGCAGTGTGACCAGGTGCAGCCCGGCTTCTTCTGCGCACCCCTTGACCACTACACCTACGAGGCTGAGCAAGCCGTGGGCCACGGGCCCAGCCATCCCCAGCTCCCAGTGAGTGTCCCCATGTGGGCTTCCGCAGTGCCCCATACCTTGTGTATGGCCATCCCCGTGCTCCATGCATGGCTATCTCCACGCATGGCCATCCCCATGCTCCACGCGTCACCGTCCCCACGCATGGCCATCCCCATCCCTGCAGGGCGCCGTGCGGGCAGAGGTGCCCCAGGACTGCCCCCAGCACCGCAATGGGGACCCAGTGGGGCGGAAGGCACGTGCTCGGCCCCAGCGCAGCCCTCCCCGCTCCCCCCAGCCCCGCGCAGCCCCACACCACAGCCTCCAGCAGCCCCCCAAGGTGAGCCCTGGGTTGAGGAGGGGGCACAGTGGGGCACAGCCTTGGGCTGGGGCTGAGCCATGCGGTGCCATGCCCAGCCCGACGTGGAGCCGGTGCTGCGAGATGGGGACGGGCGCATGGTGACGTGGACTGGACTGGGGTTTGCCCGTGTGCGGGATGGAGCCGGGCTGACATTCCATGTAGACAACGTGCCCTACCCCATGGAGTACGAGCTGCTGCTGCGTTACGAGCCTGAGGTGAGTGGCTGCAGGATGGCCCCAGTGTGCACCATGTGGCACCGCCAGTGCTGATGGCCTCGCATCCCATTGCAGTCAGCCGAGGACTGGGAGGCTGTGGTGAGCATCAGCTCCCGGGCGCTGCCCACCGGACCACGCTGTGGGAACCTGCTGCCCTCAGAGCAGATGTACCACGAAGGCCTGCCCCACAGCCAGAGGTGGGATGGGGTGGGGGTGGATTGGAAAAGGATGGAGATGGAGACAGGGAAAGGGTGGGATGGGATGAGAGGGAATGGGATAGGTGTGGAAAGAAGATGGAGACGGGGATGGGGTAGGATGGGTAGAGGGAGCAGGTTGAGGATATGGATGGGGATGGGAATGAGGACAGGGATGGGGGTGTAGACAGATTGGGCTTGAGAATGGGCATGAGTTTGGGGATAGAGATGGGAATGAGAACTGGCATAGAGATGAGAATGGGAATGCAGACAGGATAAAGGTGGAAATGTGCATGAGAGGATGTGGTGGGATGAAATAAAGAGAAAGAATGAAGATGGAACTGGGAATGGGGTGGGATAGGATAGGGATGAGGATGAAGGTAGGATCAGGACAGGGAGATGGACAACACTACCACACTTCTAGAATTGAGGGATGGGCATAGGATGTGGTTGGTATGGGAAGGGGGATAGTCCTACCACACCAGTCGGGGAATCAGGGTGATGAATGTGGCCAGGTCCTGCTACATTCTTCTGGCCATCTCTCTGTGACCCGACGCCTTCCTTTCTGCAGGTATGTGCTGCTGTCCCGGCCCTTCTGCTTCGAGCCCAGTACCCCATACGAGGTAACTGTGCGGCTGCAGAGAGCCAGCGTCACCCAGCGCCACCCCAGTGCCTTCATCCTCATCGACTCAGTAAGGGGATCCCAACACACCCCGGTGGGGAGATGGGCAGGGGTGGGCAAACCACACATAGAGTGGTGGACAGAGATGGGACAGGGTGGAGAGGGAGATGAAAGGGGTATAGATGGAGGCGGCAATGGGACTGGTGTTGCAGCTGGGTCTGGAGCAGAGAATGAGGATGGAGATGTCGATGGGATGGGGCCACGCATGGGGACATCGGTGGGGCTGGGGATCTTGATGGAGTTGGGACTGGTCCCGGGGACAGCCCCACCACCTCCCCGCTGCCCCACAGCTGGTGCTGCTGCCACGTGTGCCGGAGCTGCCGGGCTTCCACGGGGCAGCAGTGGAAGCGGTGCAGCGGCTGGAGGAGCTGGAGCGCTACCGATGCCTGGAGGCTTTCCATATGGCCCCACCGCACACCCTGGCCGAAGCCTGCGCCCGCCTCATCTGCAGCGTCTCAGCCGTGCTGCACGATGGAGCTCTGTGTGAGTCGGGGGCCGCAGGGATGAGGGGCCATGAGTGGGTTGGTGGGTGAGTGGGCTATGATAGAGCCATGCTCGGCACAGCAAGGCCGGATAGTAGCTGGTGTGGAAGAGGCCAGGGGTTGGTGGCAGTGTGTGGCATGGCATTCCCATCCCCAGCTACAACCCTGCTGCCCCACAGCCTGCCAGTGTGACCCACAAGGCTCCCGCAGCAGCGTGTGCCAGGTGCTGTCAGGGCAGTGTGAGTGCAAGCCCCATGTCCTCGGCCGACGCTGTGACCGCTGCGCACCCGGCAGCTACGGCTTTGGACCCCTGGGGTGCAGCCGTGAGTAACAGGGTCTGCTGGTGTGTCAGGCATGCCAGGATGGGACCCCCCTGTCTGTGTGTCTGTCTGTCTGTCCATCCCACTGGGATGATTATTCTCTGGCTTGAGGTCACCCTGACGTGAGCTGTGCCATTCCACAGCCTGCGCCTGCTCCCCGGAGGGCTCTGTGTCACAGCTGTGTGATGCGGGCAGTGGGCAGTGCCGCTGCCAGCCGGGCGTTATGGGCCGGCAATGCGACCGCTGCCAGCCGGGACACTGGGGCTTCCCCAGCTGCCGGCTCTGCCAGTGCAACGGGCACACCGAGGAGTGCGACCTGCGGACGGGCAGCTGCCTGCGCTGCCGAGACCACACCGCCGGCCGGCACTGCGAGAGGTGAGCGTGGTTGGGTGAGATGGTTCGGCACGGCATGGCACGGCATAGCATGATACTTACAGCACTGATGAGGTGGGGTAGGACGGGATGAATGGGATTGAACAGGTTTAGATTGTATGAGATGGGATGGGATGAGATGAGATGAGATGGTGTAGGGTACGGTAGGGTAGCTTGGGATGGGATAGGATGAGGATGGCATAAGAAAAGACGGGATGAGATGGAATAAAACGGGATGGTGGAACTGGATGGGACAGGTTAGGATTAATGGGATGGGATGGGATTTGATGAAATAGATGGGATGGACACCTGAGACCTCACTCCTGCCCTTGCAGATGCCAAGACGGTTATTATGGAGACCCGGTGCTGGGCTCAGGGCAGCAGTGCCGCCCTTGTCCCTGCCCTGGCTACCCCGGCACACGGCACTACCATGGGAGCGCCTGCCATGCCGACAAGGAGACCCACCACATCGTGTGCCTCTGCGCGCCCGGATACACCGGTGAGGGGCAGACAGGCACCATGCTGCAGCACCCCAGCAAGAGGGCTGAGATTCCATCAGCCACACCGCACGTCCCCACAGGGCCCCGCTGCGACCGCTGCTCCCCGGGCTACTTTGGGACGCCGGAGATGGAGGGAGGAGTGTGCCGGCCCTGCCAGTGCAACAACAACATCGACACCAGCGACCCGGGGGCCTGTGACCCGCACACAGGGCACTGCCGCCGCTGCCTGTACCACACTGCTGGGCCCCGCTGTGCCCAGTGCCAGCCCGGCTATTTCGGCAATGCCCTGCAGCGCAGCTGTCGCCGTGAGTTGGGCCAGGGGCTGTGGGCCTGCGAGGTCTTGGGGTGGCGTGAGGCTGAGCCCCCTGCCCCACATGGCTGCCCACCACCCGTAGGCTGCAGCTGTGACCCGCGGGGAACGCTGTCTGCCCACTGCACCGCTGGCACCTGCAGCTGTGACCGCGCTACGGGAGCCTGCGCCTGCAGAGCCAATGTGGTGGGCAGGAGCTGCGACCGCTGTGCACCCAACTTCTGGAACCTGGGGGGGATGGAGGGCTGCCAGCCTTGTGGATGCCATGCCATGCACGCCACGCACCCCGCTTGCGATGAGGTGAGCATCCCAGTATGGGTCCTGTGTCCTCTGGTGGTGAGAATGAGTGGGCTGAGCACCCTGCTCTCGCTGCAGGTCACAGGGCAGTGCCACTGCCACCTCGGCTTTGGTGGCCGTGTCTGTTCCCAGTGCCAGGAGAATCACTGGGGAGACCCCGAGCTGCAGTGCCGAGGTGAGAGCTTTACCCACGGACTGGCAGTGGGGTGTATGGGGACATGGGAACCCTGAGAAAAGAGGGGTCTTAGGGATACAGGGTGCCGTTGGGACAAAGGCTGTGCTTTGGGGTACATGGGGGCTCCTGGAAATATGGGAACCTTGGGGAAGGGGGAGTCTTGGGGACACAGGGGGTCCTGGGGACATAGGATGAGATTTTGGCTACCTGGGGATTCCTGGGAACATGGAGAGAATCCTGTGGATGTGAAGGACCTCGGGGACATAACAAGCTCCTGAGGATGTGGTGGGACCCTGGTGATAGGGATGAACCATGTGCCACAGCATGATGCTGGGGACATGGGATAGGGACACAGTGAGTCTCCAGGTATGTGATGGGACCCTGGAACCACGGGTGACCCAGGAGACACAGTGCCACTCTGAGAACACAGAGGCCTCTGGAGAGTTCAGGCAGTGACAGTGCCCATCTCCACAGCCTGCGAGTGTGAGCCACTGGGTGCTGAGAGCCCGCAGTGCGACCGAGCCAGTGGGCAGTGCCAGTGCCGGCCAGGCTTTGGGGGGCTGCGCTGCGACCGCTGCCAGCGGGGCTACCAGGCCGCCTTCCCTCGCTGCTCTCCATGCCACCCCTGCTTTGGGCACTGGGACGCAGTGCTGGGCAGCCTGCAGGATGGGCTGCAGCACCTTGGGGCACGGGTACGGGCGCTGCGTGAGGGAGGGTCTGCAGCCTCGCTCAGCCCCCGCCTGCGAGCACTGGAGGAGGCCCTGAAGCATGCAGAGCGGCTGCTGGGTGAGGGGAGCAGCCCCAGTAGCCCCCTCCTGCAGGAGCTGGCCGGGCAGCTGGATGGCAGCAGGCAAGTGCACACGGTGGGCTGGGGGGGGGCTTTAGGCATCCAGAGGTATTTGAGAGCTCTCTGCCCCATAGGACAGAGCTGGACAACTTCTGGAAGAGGCTTCAAGAGCTGGAGCAACACGTGGATCAGCTGGAGCAGGCTGATGTGCTGCACCGCAGCCGGCTGGCCAGGCTGAGCCATGAGTTGGGTGGGCTCAACCAAACCACCTCCCGCCTGCAAGCTGTCTTCGGCACCGTGACAGCAGCAGGATTCAGGGGTAAGGGCATCCAGTGAGGGCGTCTGGGGGCATGGGGGCTGGGAGAGCCGTGCCCCAGTGCTGGATATGTAGCTGGGACTGGGAGAACTGTGCCCTAATTCTGAGTGCGTGGTAGGACTCTGGGGTTGTGGGGGGGGAGGTCCTAGGAACAGAGGTACCTTGGGAAAGTGTTGGGACTCCGAATATGGAGAGACAGTGGATACTTAGGAGATCCTGGGACATGGAAAGACACAAGGGATATGGCTGATCCTGGAGCCATAACAGGATGCTGGGGACATGGTGGGACTCGAGGGACACTCTGTACTCGCAGAGTCATACCAGAGCATCGTGGTGGCAGCACGGGACTCACGGCAGGCAGAGGTGGTGGCCAATGGCACGGCAGGTGAGCTGAGTGCAGCACGGGCCACGCAGTGGGCAGCTGAGCAGGCCCTGCAGCAGCAGGGTGATGCGTTCCGCCGGAGCATGGCTGCACAGCGGAAATCCCTGCGGGAGACACAGAAACGGGTGTCAGGGCTCAGCGTGGCCGGGATCAATGAGAAGGTGAGAGTGGGACGGGGGAAAAAGGGCTCGGGGTGATCATATCACAGGTGGCACACGGGTTGCTTGGCTCTTGTGCCAATTGGGATGAGGGTCTGCCCATTCAAACTACACCTTTTGGATCCCTGCAGATTTGTGGGGCTCCTGGAGACCGGAGCTGTGCAGAATCACTGTGTGGAGGAGCTCTGTGCCGGGACAGCGTGGGGATGAGGCATTGCGGGGGTGTGGGGTGCACAGGGGCCCTGCCTGTGTCAGCTCAAGCCCTGAGCAGTGCCGGCAATGCCTCACAGCAGCTGGAGGTGGCCCTGGGACAGCTGAGTGCCGTGGCACAGAAGGTAGGCATGGCGTCCCCATGTGCTGGGTTCTCATGCGAGGCCCTTTGTGCCCACTTGAACACCACACCTGTGCCCACTCCTGGGTCAGTGCCGGCCCCTTGCACATCCCAACTGTAAGCCCCTTGGTGCCCCTTGGTTACACCCCAGATGCAGGAGGTTCAGGACCTGGCACGGGGTGCCCGCAGCCGTGCAGAGGAGGCGTTGGAACGCTCACAGGCTGCCCGCAGCCGCACAGAGAAGGCGACAGCACAGTTGCGGGACTTCATCCGCCGCATCAAAGCCTTCCTGTCAGGTAGGGCCAGCAGTGTGTGGGCACCAGGCATGGTGCGGGGCATGGAGCCCACCCTGAGCCCACCCTGCTCCGATGTCCTGCAGAGGAGGGTGCAGATCCAGGCAGCATCGAGCTGGTGGCGCGGCAGGTGCTGAACATCTCCCTGCCCAGCAGCCCTGCACACATCCAGGAGCTGCTGCGGGAGATGCAGGAGAGCATCAGCCAGCTGGATGGGGTGGACGCGGTGCTCAACGGCACGGCACAGGGGCTGGAGGCTGCACAGGGGCTGCTGGCACAGGGACAGGATGCCAGGTGAGTGGCGACAAGCTGGATGGGGAGGGCAACAGAGCCCTGAGCAGAGCTGGAGGTGTCTGCATCGCCACAGGGAGCGAGCAGAGGGCATGAGGGACGAGCTGGCAGGGACGCAGCTTGCACTGCAGGTGGCACGGGCACAGGTGATGGCGGCTGGGAGCACCCTGCGGAGAGCCAAGGATGGCATCCGGGCTGCTGAGGGCAAAGCCAGGGAGGTGAGAGGTGATATTGGGGATGGGGACCCTGGCACACTCCTGGGCCCTGTGGGTAACAGAGTGGGCACACATGGGGAGCAAAGCCGATGCTATGGCGTGGTGCGGGCCAGCCACGGGTACCCGATGGGCACACGGTGCCCACCCACCGTCTGTGTCCTATGCACCCAGGCGGAGCGCAGGCTGCAGGCGCTGCAGGGGAAGGAGTCACGGCTGCAGCGGCGGCTGCGGGAGCTGGCACAGCGCGTCACCGCCCTGCAGCAGCGCGGACAGGACGCCCGGCGCCTGGCACAGGATGCCAAGGATGGGGCGCAGCGTGCCACCGCCGCCTCGAGGACGCTCAGCCAGGTGAGCCCCGGCCTCGCAGCAGGCGGGGGGCGATGCGGGGAGCTCGGCCTCACCGTGCCGTGTGCCCCTAGGACCTGGCGCAGGTGACTCGGCGCTACGTGGTGCTCAAGGACCGGGTGAGCGGGATGGCAGGGATGGCCGGCGGGGCCCTGCAGCGCGTGACGCGGCTGACGGCCGAGGCCAGGGACCTGCTGGATAAAGCCAACAGCAGCAAGAAGCGGCTGGAAGGTAAGAGGCGGCGTGGGACAGGGGCCGCCCGCTCGGTGCCCGCAGCCCACCCTGCACCCCGTGCCTTCCCGCAGAGCTGGAGCAGCACTTCGGGGCCAACGAGCAGGCGATGGCGGCCAAGGCGACGCGGCTGCAGGCGCTGGAGCGGCAGGTGTCGGGGCTGCTGCAGGAGATCCGCGAGCGGGCCAACGCGTACGCCACCTGCTAGGGAGTCCGACCCGCTCGGGACGCGGCCCCGCGCGGCGAGGAAGAAACCCGCGGGGTGTCTGTAGCGCCTGCAAATAAAGCGCTGAGCAGCGGCTGCCCGTGTCCGGCCTCTCACTGTCACGCGTGGCCGAGTCCCGCGCGTCCCCCCGCGGTACCCCCGGCCTCCGGCGGGGCGGTGCTGGCCCTTCCCGGCCCGGCGTGGGCCGCCGTGCGAAGGGACCGCCCCGCGAGTTCCGCGCAGCCCCGAGCGCCGCCACAACTTTGCGGAGGGGCGGCGAGAGGGAACCCCCCCCCTCGGCAACGCGCGCCTACCCACGCGAGACCGGACCCCACGCGGCGGCACCCCGAGTCCCGCGCGCCGCCGCGATGCGCGGCCCCGCAGCCTTCCTCCCCCCGCTTCTCCTCTTCCTCTCCCTCCTCGTCCCGCTGCCGTCCGGTGAGTGCGCGGCCCCCGCTCGCGGAACGCTCTCGGGTTGGGGTCCGGACCCGCGGGGCATTTCCGGGCGGATCGCGGAAGGGCCCCCGCTTCGGGGCCGTGCGGGACGGGGACGGAGCTCCGCGTGGGGTCCGGCCTCATCCACCCGCTGCCCACGCAGGGCCGGGAGGGGCCGCGTGGGCCGTTTCTTCTCCCGACGCCCCCCATGGCTGCGCCCGCGGCAGCTGCTACCCGGCCACCGGGGACCTGCTGGTGGGGAGAGCCTCGCGGCTCAGCGCCTCGTCCACCTGCGGGCTGCGGCGGCCCCAACCCTACTGCATCGTCAGCCACCTCCAGGTGAGACGGGGGATGAGGGACGGGGGACCGGGACGTGGTGGGGTGGGGTGACCGTTGAGCCCCCGCCCACAGGAGGAGAAGAAATGCTTCGTCTGTGACTCGCGGAGACCCTACGATGCCCACAGCAATACTGACAGCCACCGCATCGAAAATGTGCTGACCACCTTTGCCCCCCGCCCCAAGAAGGCCTGGTGGCAGGCGGAGAACGGTGAGCAATAGAGCGTCCCTGGGGGGCTGCTCTTCCCGTCCTCCCACACTAAGGAAGCCGTGACTCAGCCCTGTGCTGCTGTGGCCAAGGCTGGAGTCACACGGGTGTCCCCCCCCAGGCGTGGAGCACGTCAGCATCCAGCTGGACTTGGAGGCTGAGTTCCACTTCACCCACCTCATCATGACCTTTAAGGTGAGCGCAGCAGGATGGCACAGACCCCGTCATCCCGACTGCCATCCTGCCGCGTGTCCCAACCCTGCCGTGTGCCCCCACCCCTCCATGTGCCCCGCAGACCTTCCGCCCCGCAGCCATGCTGGTGGAGCGCTCGGCCGACTTTGGCCGCAGCTGGAAGACGTACCGCTACTTCGCCTACGACTGTGCTGCGTCCTTCCCCCACGTCCCCCGTGGGCCCCCGCGCCGCATTGACGATGTGATCTGTGAGTCGCGCTACTCTGACATCGAGCCCTCCACCGAGGGGGAGGTGAGGCTCCGACAGCACCGAGGGACACTTGGAGGATCCCGCTGTCCCCTCACCGCTCTCCTCCTTCCTGCAGGTGATCTACCGCGTGCTGGACCCTGCCATCCCCATCCGCGACCCCTACAGCCCCGCTATCCAGGGTGAGTCGCCCGCCCGTCTGCCGCCCTGCGGCTCTATTTTGGGTGCCACTATTTTGGCTGCTGTGTCCTCATGCTGAGCCCACTGTGGGGCTGGATCCAGGAGTTTCCAAACCCATACAGCGGGGTGTGGATGAATGTGGGGCAGCATAGGATGCCAAGCAATGGGAGATGGGACTATGCCAGTGCCTGGTGCAGGGGCTGTAACCCCGCAGCATGGAGCTGGTGGTGGGCAGATGAACGGTACAGGATGCAGCGGGTTAACAGCTGAGGCTAAATTTAGGCTGGGAGCAGGAGGGGAGGAATCTGCGGGGCCCGGCGGCTGCTGCTGGGAAGCTGCTGTCCCTGGAGAGCCGTCCTGCTGGCCCCATGTGCCATGCAGCACCACAAGCACGGAGCAGTACATCCCCAGCCATGGCGCACCATGTGCAATGCGCTGCAGCTGGGCACAGCCGTGTTCAGCAGGTACGGGTGAGCAGAGCCAAGCTGCCAACTTTCTATGCAGAGCTGCTGCGTGTCACCAACCTGCGGGTGAACCTCACCAAGCTGCACACGCTGGGGGACAACCTGCTGGACTCACGGCGGGAGATCCGCGAGAAGTACTACTATGCGCTGTATGAGATGGTGCTGCGTGGAAACTGCTTCTGCTACGGGCACGCCTCAGAGTGTGCGCCGCTCAGCGGGGCCACAGCCACTGTGAATGGCATGGTAGGTCCAGCCATAGTACAGACCCCTGTGCTGTACTGCATTGGGGTGACCGCAGCACCCAGTCCCACAGCTCCTCACCATGGCATCCTGGCAGGTGCACGGGCGCTGTGTCTGCAAGCACCACACGCAGGGGCTGAACTGTGAGCGCTGTGAGGACTTCTACCA